TGAGGAAAAATGTCTTTACTGAAAGAGTGGTGAAACATTGGAACAGGCTGCCCAGGGAAGTGGTGGAGTCCCCATCCCTGGAGGTATTTAAAAGACGTGTAGATGAGGTGCTTAGGGACATGGTTTAGTGGGCATGGTGGTGGTTGGGTCGAGGTTGGACTCGATCTTAGAGGTCTTTTCCAACCTTAATGATTCTATGATTCTTTGAATGTGAAAACCTATTAGTAGTTCAGCAGAATTTGGTTAGAGCCTTTTGACTGTACTGAAGTTAATTTTGCTGGTACGGTAATCTTTTCATGTGCAACCAACTTGAGTTTTGTTTGTATTTCCTTGGGCTTTTACAAAGAATAAAAAAAAATATGCTTCTCGGTGTTTTTTTCCAACCCAGTTTTGAGTTCTAAGAGGCAGTACTTCCTCAGCAGCTTTATGATTCAGATGACGAGGGCTGTGTTCTTGACCATTTGTTCCTCGATGACTTTCTTGATTCATATTTTGCTTTTTTCTTCTTTCAACAGAAAAGGCTTTAATAGTTAAGGTTTTTGCAGATTCATGATTCAGCTACCTCACAAGTATGATTTTACATTACTTAACAACTCCATTAGCTACTTGGGAACTGAGAAGGATATTCCTTTACTCAACTTCCTATGCTTACAGAGTAGGTTAGATTACAGATAGTTATGGGCTTGTTTGTTTTACATTCACTGCAAACTGATAATTTAGATAGCTTATAATTTTGAGTGCCAGTTTGTTCTGTTAATGCTATTTTCTCTTCCTATTGCTACTATCTACTGTCCTCCGTGTGCCTCTATCAGACGGGGCCTTCCGAAATGTGAATACGTATTTATTAATCATTTTTCTTCTTGGTTTAGTTTGTGTGTGCAGGGAGACACCTCACCTTCAGTACGCTTTTCTAAACTGTATCTATGTCACATCAATAAAAGGGCCACACACTGCAGACTACTGCTGTGATCTTTTAGTCAGAGGCATCATTATTACACCCAGGACTCATAAATGAGCCAATTATGTCACTGTACTAATCTTTTGTCTTCTGCTTAAACTGTTAATTCACGCTTTTGTCTGTCTTGAGTTATTACAGCTCCTTTCTAGCAACATTGCTAAGTTATGAATGCTTTTGACAAGGACAAGATTTACCAGTACTTAGAATAAACACAATATAAAGCAACTAGTACAGGCATTAACACTGTTCAGGAAAATGACAAGCAAGTGGGATATAAGTAACTGTAGGAGGAAGGTACAGGAGGGAAATTCAGACCTGAAAACATACATTCCAAACCCTCTGAAATCTCTATCTGCCAGTGGTATTCCTATCACAAAACACACACTGCCAAACACAAATTTTGGCCTCCACATAACTACACTTACCACCTTAATGTTTCAAACAGAACCAACCCATTTTTAGGAACATTTAGAGCACTAAAATCTTAAGTATAGCCACTGCATTAAGAAGTGTTTTTATGAGAAGTGCAACAGAAGTGGCACATTAAATATTAAAGCATCAGACTGCACAGTTGAAGAAATAGATTGTTCTCTGAACACTGAACCTCAAACAACTGCTTTGCACTGTCACACACTGGTACTCACACAGAACCTTCCACCTGCAATCTACAACATTTTTTTTTTCCATGAAACAGCTATTTAAGGACTTCAAATAATCATTAGGACAGCTGACGAACTCAAGCACCATCATAGAGGTCAAATAGGTTTTATTAAACAGTAGAAACAGACCTAAAATCTACATACATAAAACATTATCTAAAGTTATAACTGAAAGCAAGTGTAGGCTTACATATGTTGGAGTCTCCAAAGAATCTGTATTCACCAGCACTGGAGGGGGATTTGCCTTTAACAAAAGAATAAAGAAAAATTAGACAGCATAAGAGAAAGTAATACTAATGATAATTATACATTTAATTTGCTGTGTTTCTCGAAGTTCTGTTAAAAGGTAGCCTCAGCTTGAGAATCTCAAAAATTCACCTTCTGAAACACTTGTTTCTACCCCAAACAAAGTGCTTTCATGCCACAAAACCACACTCTTCCAAAAACTCTGAGCTCGTATTGTATATACAAGTTCTGTCATTTATTATCTTTTTTCAAAAGAAAAACTGAGTCATGCTATCATTTGACATGATGTCAGTTACCCCAGTACTTGCGATATGACATTCAGAAGTTGCTTTCCCAGCCAATATTTTAAAACCAAATTTTTTGGTGGATTTGATTCCTCTTTCTCCCTACCAGGAACACTCCCCACCACAACCACCCCACCCACCCCCCACCCTTCAACCTGCAAAATGGAAACTTACAGAAATGGAAGTTTCTGCATGGAAGGATCAACAAAACTGAAAGCAAATCCACAGCAGACATTCATCTACCACACAGCAGCACATGCTTCCATCAGAAAATTGTTATGGATTCACAAGCCATAAGCAGTCAGAGATTATTGCTATAGAAATATGAAATAGTATAGCATTCTTGCTAGCCAGGAACTGGTAGAATAAGCTCACACTTTTACTTCCTGATGTTACTGAGAATCTTTCTGTGAAAAATGCGGTTTCAACTGAAAGAAAATCCATACAGACTGGTGACATTCATCTGAAATACTTCCAAATAAATACATTTCCTGTATTTGCATCAATTATCTGCCTTTAAATAGGTAGCATCTAGCCTGCACTAAGAACAAAACAAAACGTGTGCAGATATATTCCAGACTCCAAATACTGTTGCTCTATTAAGTTCAACGAGACCTACAAACTCAGTGGCACAAAACAAAGTTAATCTCCTTACTGCTTTAATGAAGCTGAGATTTTTTTATACGTATAAAAATCCATTATCTTTAAAGTTAAGACATTCTTTATATTTTTTTTTTTTTTTAAATCTCGTGTGTGTGTGTGTGTAAATAAATTTAGGGACAGTTTAACAGGCTGCAATAGAAGCTAGTATTAAACTCATTCAAAGATAAGCTTAAGACCTACCAAAACATGACAATTACATTAACCTATTCATATTCTGCATTTTAGTTTCATTACCATGACAACAACATACTTCTGAAGAATTCATGATTTTTAAAAGCCCCCAAAAGCCAGGAAGTAAGCAATGACTCAGAAGTTCCTTACAAAAGACTGAGATGAATAATCTACCATCACTAGACAGGAGTCATCAATCTGCTGAGGTTGCTGTGTCAGAAATTAGGCCCGTATCATTTAGTAAGTACTAAAATCAGGTGGTATATATGCAAGTTAACAGAGTAGACTATTAAAAAAAGGAAACAAAAAGGATGACACTTATGACTGTCAAGATGCCAAACACCTTTCTCACCCAGCAATTCTCAGTAGAAGCATGGGCACACTTTACGCAGTACAGAAATCAATTACTAGTTACTAGTATCATGATAAAAATCTCTGTCAAAACAATGCTATCCCTCACAACCATTTTCTGCCATTAATTTACATTCCGATTTCTGCTTCTTATTCAAGGTCTAGTAAAATAAGATTAAATTAAAAATAAGATCCTGTACTAAAAATACCAGTCAATTAAATTATGCATCACCATCCCTGTAAGAGCTTTACAATTAACACGGTTTTAAGAAAAACAAAACAACACACTGTATTAAAAAGAACCTGACTGAGTATGAGGCATTAGGAGTCTAATCTCCACTGGATCTACAAGAGAACAGCATACATACATTTATTTTATATTTGTGTATCAACTATGAAAAGATTTTTACTTTATAATTAGAAAACAAAACAAGGATTAATTTTTAAATTTCAGTCACATTCTTTACATTTCCCTCAATTTTGGAATTTATTTTTATTTAATATTAGGATTCAGTAATATCCAAGTATATTCAACAAAAGCAGTATCAGTGAAAGCTGGTTTCCCATGAATCTTTTTCTTGAGGTTGACAGGTGGTGTTCTTTTAATGTCTTAAAACAGAAGAGCAAGACTAGCTAAAAGCAAATTGCTATTAGTAGGTGAGGTTTCTACGTGAACAGTATGTTTGAGACACAAACTAGCCAACAGATGCAAAACACCTTCAGTAAGTTAAGTGATTGTTCCTAACACTCCTTCTGCATTTATCTGAATTCTCCATCAAGAAGCAATAATTTACCATCATTTCCAAGCAGGAAGGAGAAGAGCTTTGTGCCAGGCATTCCAAAGGTATGCCTGGACACTACAAAGACACAAGGCACATCTAACTCAACACATCAAATGTTTTTTGAAGGAAGACCTGGTATTTCAGTCTGTTATGCAAGAGTTCTCCAAATTACCTAACACTTTCAAGCTTCTGTGCCAGGGCTTGTTCAAATATTTAAAAGCCATTTGACAAGTTTGTTTACAAGCAGACTAAGGGCTTGCCTGCGGGGTAAAGCAACTAACAAAACAGAGATGTATCTATCACGCAAAAATGCATCTGCCAAATCCAAAGTTGATTATAAATTTCTGTGGTATTTTCTAATTGCTTAGAATCACGTATGATGCAGAATTATATAGATAACTCCTGCAGACATTTATATGCACTCAGAAGACAGAGGCATAGACCACTCAATTCTTACTCTTCTGCTTGTAATCCAGCATCATCAATGGACATTAACACTGTCACAGCAATGGCAGTCAAAGAAAATATAAATACATATAGCACTAATTATTTTACTTTAAATTAAGTTTAGCCTACTGGCAATTCGCTGAAAGTAAATGCTACTGCTAACGCAGTTATCTTTATCCACCAAGGCTGACAGCAGAAGTCCACTGGTCGCACTAGTCTGCTCCTGACATGGGCAGAATCCCTTTATAAGAAGGAAATAGTTCTGAAACGAATCAAATCTCTGGTCTGCCTGTTGGGAAAGGTATGGGTGACAGATTCGTGTAAACATACATCCACTAGAAATTGCGCTACAAAACAGCCAACTAAAAACTGTTGATAGTTATTGGATTATGTAAAATTTAACAATGTAGCAGAGATAGAAAAAGATTACCACCTGTTGCAAGTTTAGCCCCATAGCTTGAAAACAGACCTTAAGAAAAAAAAGAAAGAAAACTGACATATACTACAAAAATATCCCGGTACTATTCTGGATAGCTTAATTCCCCTTTAAAGTTAATAAATATCTGTCACCAAACAATTCTAAGAAGTGACCCATCTTTTCAGAAGGCATGCATGCATCGTTTGAGATTTTTGCACTGAAAGTTACAGTAAAGTTACAAAAAATAAAAGCAGAATGCCATTCAATATGCAAAAATATAACTGCTACCTATCCTAAATTATTCCATAGCTTGCCATGCTGTGATCACATATTCCAAGTTATATACAAGATATTAATGTTAACTCATGTTTACTGCTTTCACTTGTCTTGACAGGGTTTATTTTTTTTGTGTGTTGACATTATGTGACCTAAAGGATGAAGGTCCAGAAGGGAAGCACATTCTATGAGTCAAATATGTTAGGAATAGAGGGGTAAAAAACCCCCCCAAAACCCAAACCCTTTTGTATTCTAAATGCCCCCAAGCACACTAATACAAACAAATGGCTGGAGAACAGAAGAAATGTCATGCAAGTGCAATTGATGAAAGACATATATTAAGCATTTGTATATAAGATGAGACAACAATTTTCTATAAATAAATCAATCAATCAATAACAACTTTAGTAAGGCTGAAATGGCTCTAAAATTATTATGTGAGAACACAAAATATCCTATTGCTTCTTTCCATTCTTTTGAGGGTTTTTTCTTTAGCTATTTCACAACTTACTAATATGACTAATACATATACTTCCATGTGAAAATATAGACATTTTAAATGGACTAAAAGCTGCTATAAAACAAACAAAAGTTAGGATGAAACTTCAGTGTATTACTAATTCAGCTCTTTCACAGTTCATCTCAAACCTGTTTGTAAGAGTACCAAAATGTGAATTTAAACAAAACAATGAAATAAATTGAATAAATAAAAGTTGAACAAATTTAACAAAAAAAAAGAATAAAAACCTGTGGTATGGTGGATGGGATGACAGTGGTCTCAGCAGGGACTGATGGGACAGGGATCACAGGGACAATGGGAGAAGAGGAAGGAACAGCTTCTGTGGGCTAAAAATCACCAACAAAACGTCAAAAATAATGAAAACTAGAAAAACATTTTAAAACAAACAAGATTCAAATTTAACAGCTTAAAAAAATAATTCTTAATAGCATATGGATTTGGAGACTATAACCACAGCTGAAGACAAACAACCACCTTTAACCACACACTGTGCATGGCAGCGCATGCCCAGCAACGTGCTAGTGTCAGAGAACCCAAAGCCGTAAGACATACCCACGCTGCTTACTGCCACCAAGTTACTCACCTTGTAGCAGCGTAGTAAGACTTTGGGGTCCAACAGAAAACCTGTTCATGTCAGTGGACAGACTCAGGCTTTTTGTGGGCTGGTTTCACAACAGAAGCCCTTCACCATTATACAACAGTGTGCAACAGCAGGGAAACAGTGGCTAAAGTTGACAGCACTGAACAAAGTTAATATTCCTTTTTGATAAAGGAATTTTGGTCTTAGGAATTTTCATTAAAATATTAACCAGGAGAGCTACTGACACTTAAGCTGCAAGGGAACAAGATTACAAATAGCATTTTGAGCAAAATTGACTCAAATCATTTTGAGATGTTAACATACTGGTTGTCAGCAACATAAACTACTGGCAACTATCATCAAAATTACAAGCTGAACAGCAGATCAAAGCTCTTGCAACTTAGTTGTTCCAAGACATTCTTGGATCTTTAAATATAATGAAGCATAATGACAAATGAAAATACTAAATCCTGAAAATGAGCCAAAACCCCAGAACATAGAAGTATTAAACGTATTTTAAAAGTTTGAGATATTTTAAAACACAAAGCAACATACACCAATAGCATACACCAAATTAAATGGTCAAAGCAAATATTAAAGCAACCTGAAACAGCCCAAGAGTAGCAACCCTTAAGTGTACATATCGTATTTCTACAGGTCTTTTTCAGCTCAAAGTCAATTTATCTAAAATGAACAGCTGGTGAAAAATGCTGCAGTTATTGAAAGATGTGAGAACAAGAAACATTTGATATCTTCAAAGATTATTACTATTGTCTTTTAAACATCCTTACATCTGTGGACAACAGCACAATCTTTCAAGTGTTAAAAAAGGCGGGGGGGGGGGGAATCTGGTCTAAAACAATGATAATACCATTTTGCAAAGGATGCAGAAAATGCTCAATGCAACAAACCTGCAGTTACTGGAAGAACGATGCAACCTTTAGAGGACAGATCAAATTAAATAGCTTGAGCAATCACTCAGCCCTACATATGCAAAAAAGTAAGCCACCCCTTCAAGTCTGCCTTGTTCCAAAGTAAGTAGCTTCCCATGTATGCACGCAGTAAAAAAATCCTGTTAACCAAAATTTCAGATATTCACATATTACACGTCAAAATATAACACAACATTAAGGCTGACAAACTAACCGTTAGCAGGTCAGAAAAATTCCAGCTTTACAGTTATAACTCCTGCAATAAGATAAGGTTAAAAACAAATTGAAGTTATTCTTAGACACTGATCACACTCCCCTGCCCTTTGACTTAGCAAAGTAACTGACACAGTCGTAGCTGATTTCCTTATGGACCAAACAACCTGCACCTCTCCCTCTGCACCCAACGGCAGCTTTATTTTCCCAATTCCTTCTTTTTCTCAGTTCTTAACTCCCTTCTCTCTCTGGGCTTCTCATTCCTAAACACTTCAAGAACCCTCCCAACTAGTTCCAATTTTTATCCTTATTGTTTTAAAACTGACATTGTTCCAAGTCCTTTAATTCTTTCAGGTTCCAGTCTCATAAGCTATTAGTACTGTCATTGTATTTTCCCTTTGTGCTGATGGTTTAGTATCCACTGACTCTTAAAAGCATGCTCCCCCAAGCGTCCTGGCAATGTTCCTATTGAGTCTCCTCCACTACCATGTGCGTGAGGAAAGAGGTGACGACACTGGCAACCACTTTCAAAGGATGTGCAAATCCAAATAAAGGTAAGACTGTCTTCACTTAAACGTTTCATGGAATACAGTGAATTGATGTAGGCACTATGGCTACCACAAGGAAGGACAACACAAGAAATTAAAAGATTACTAACCATCAAAGCAAGAAGACCTGGAACACCGTTATAATAGCAGAATGCTGATTTGATTTTAGTATGGCACATAATCAGTCTGAAAATTATTATATGGTACAGGTATCTGTGAGAGCAGCTGAATAGGCTCCAGTAGCTCAGGGTATTGCTTTCAATGCTCTGCTTCCCAGGAATTTTCAAGAAACATTTGTAATTTTTAGGAATTCTCCAAATTAATATGCTAAAGTATTCTGAAAAACAAAAGCTTATCCTCAAAATAACTTTAAATAAATATGTCTCTGATTACAACATTTAATAATTCTGGTTTAAATAGACACAAACTTACTTAAACTACAAAGAAAGCAACGGGCCAATTAAAAACCTTGTTTTGAATATATATAAACTGTAGCATGCAAGTACGATAGACTATTGTATATAGGAATGCTTGACTTGGGCAATAACTCACTTTAACAGAGCCTGTCAGCTTAAATGAATGTGTTAACACCTACAATGAAAAGCCACTCTGTTACAACAGTACAATAAATCTCAAGTAATTCTTTTTTAAAGTGTAAGGATGGACTTTAGAATATTTATAAACAAAAATAATCATTCAATTTTAAGTGGTATGTTTAAAAACGCTAAGATAGTAACACCTTTAAGTGTTGTTAATGAATTAATGAATTAAAAGGAGAGCCTCCAAACCTAACACTAAATCCAGATGATGTGAAAAGGAGGAACACACCCATTTTCTCATGTTTAACCAACACACACCACAACTCCTTCTGTGAGGAAATACCAACTAACCTGAAATTATCAAAGCACCATACACATCCCAAAGCACATCAACTAAACCAGCAAATTCCATAACGCTGATATTTGTCAAGTACTAAAAGACATATTTGGGAGAACAAATCAAGCAAACCAGACTTTCCTCACTTTCAAGAAGTTACTATTAAAAACCCACACTGTATACAGTGCAACAATCTTAATGGGAAAACACTGAGCAGAAGTATTTCTTTGCCAGCCCAATTTCAATTATTACTACTTTGATTTCTAGTGATAAAATACAAAAGAAAATTAACATTGTCTCTAGAAATAGCAGGGATAAAACTACAGAAAGAAAAAAGTGTGTCATACTTTCTACGGTTTGCACCAAAAATGCGCATCTATAGATACCTAGTGCAATACATACCTTTTCTAAAGAACAATTAGAACATGAGCCATCAGACACCCAACCACTAGCAGCTTTTACTTTTGCTGTGCTTTTTGTAGGACTCTTTTTTACACTGTCACGTAGGTTTATAAATTTTCCTCTGTGTTTGGAAGACGCCGGCAACGTGGATGAACTAAAAGATGTACGAATGCTTAGTGCTCGCTGCTGATGCCGGTAAGGCTGCTTTGGCTGCATATGAAGATTTTGACGTATTTCCATTCTCGGGCTCCTTGTTAAATCAGTGAGCTTGAGCATTCCCATTTCACCGTCATCTGTAGCACCACAGTATTTGTAGTCGTAACAGTGAGTAGTCATGAAACTAGCAACACAAACAGTCCTTTTTGCAAAAAAATGGAGGGAAAATAAACCAAAATGTTGCTTCCTGAGAAAGTTCAAAATATGATTGTTTTCTAGATTATGGTCATAGGAAGAAACGCTACATGCTGTTTTAGCGAGTACTGCATGTTGTGTACTCTCTCACTCTATTTAAAGAGCACCATTGAACCACCACAAGACAGTCAATTTGCTGGGCATAAATAATCAATGCAATGCACAAATTATTGAATAGATGGCAAAAGTCATCTGACTTTTTTATTAAAAAGAAGCTATGAAAGGTTATAGTTGCTTTCTTTCTTCCATAAGCTCCTACTATGCTTAAACTTTGTTATATTTTACCACCTCAAAACTTCTCCGAGGTTTACATGTAGAAAATTTTAAAATATAGCAATTCCTCTACTTTTCTGAACACTTTATGGGGGCTGAAAACTAATGACTTTAAAGAAGCTTATGATGAAAAGTATATGAACTGCGAATGGGCAGATACATCGTACAAGTTTTCAACATTAAACTTCCAAAGAAAACAAATTCGTTCAGACCATAACAGTAACAAAAATTACTTTGTTTTAATAATGGTAAGACTTGCATTTCCATGAAATACAGCAGCACTGAGAGACAACAATTTTAAGGTGCACACTGTTTAAATTAAAAGCTAAAAAAAAAGTATATGAACTGCGAATGGGCAGATACATCGTACAAGTTTTCAACATTAAACTTCCAAAGAAAACAAATTCGTTCAGACCATAACAGTAACAAAAATTACTTTGTTTTAATAATGGTAAGACTTGCATTTCCATGAAATACAGCAGCACTGAGAGACAACAATTTTAAGAGGTGCACACTTTAAATTAAAAGCTAAAAAAAAATTAAGACATCTAAACAAACCTGAGTTCTTTATTATTTTATTAATTCAGTTTTTAATGCCACAGATGCATGATCTCTATATCACATTTCTATCCCAATTTTCAAAACAAAAGAGCTCCAAAACAATTCCTACCCTCCCCCCCCCAAATGCACACAATGAGGAGATAGTTTGATTTAATCATGCTGTTGAATATTTAACTTTACCAACCAATCATTCTAAAAAGAGGTAAGGATCAAAAGTTGATTTCCCAGAGTCTACATGAAAATTGACAGCTAAATAGAGACACCTATATTCCTAGCCTCACAGAAGGAAGCAGGCTCAAGGCAGTGGTCGTGCAGTCTTCTCGACAGCAGACACACAACCAGCATAGTTCTGGACCAGCCATAGCACACACCATCTGCCTCTTGCCCCACGGGTCTGTTCTAGGAATATGCTGTGAATCTGAATATCTGGCACTGGGTATGATGAGAATGGAGGACACCAGCCCACAGGAAACAAAGCTTGATTAGGTCAGCTGTACTGTATTTGGATAAAATGGAGACATTTCATCAGT